CTAATTGTGCATTATATGTTTGCATACTTGCATATTGCACTTTATTTCACGTTTCCTTCTTCTTCTCCTTTCTTTGCCATGTTCCCTTAGGACCTTTAATCTCCTTATTTAAGAATGATTATGATATATCTTAGGCGTGAACCCATATATGATAACATTAGGTAGCATTCCCTTTTACCTCAACTATAGGTACACTTTGCATGAGAACATTAGGTTGAGTCTTAGTCTCCCTTAGAGTGTCTTTCTCTTCTCATCTTCAAACATCTTTAAAACACTTAATAAAGGTTAAGGATTATTGTACGTTACGAGCCTTAAGTACTTGGGAAATGGTGATTAGGGGCTTCCTCTCAATTATCTAGAGTGTTTAGCGTATGTCCTTTGGACGATATGCGACACATTCACTCCTAGGTCATAGTCTTTAGTGCAACATGAATTACAAATCAAACTTAAATCACTTCTTCTCTAAAAAACACAAACAAACTTCAAATCTTTTATCCTCCGGGATTTAATTTGGAAACCTTTTTCATAAGGAGAGTTTTGCTAACTCTTGGTTCTACCGCAAACAGGTAACGCCTAAGTTTCCAATGGTCGAGCTGTATATACCTAGCCGTTAGAACTAAGTTTTAACCCTACTCGGGCCTAAAACATTTTGAACCAACCGGTGTTCTTGTTAGCCCGAACTATTTTTTGCTCTGATTTCTCATACCAGATGAGAATACGTAGGCATAAGATGGAGATGTCTTGGCGAGCAACCTTCCCACACCTTTCACCCGTAGTTAGCCGAACTACGTTGACTCTGACTTTCCCATTGCACGAGGGAATACGTAGGCACAGAGCGGCGATGCTCTGCCGAGTCTCTTTTCTTTCCTTTTGTCCCTGAGACCTTTAGTTAGATAGTAAACACCCTTTTAGATAGATAACCAAGCGTGGATCCCGTCGAGTACGACGAACGTGAGGGGTGCTAATACCTTCCCCTTGCATAACCGACTCCCGAACCCGAGACATGGTTGCGATGACCTGTCTTCTCCCGTTTTCGTTAGGTTTTCTCTGATTATTTCCTTTCCCTCTTTTGGGATAAATAACAAACGGTGGCGACTCTTCTGTCATTGCCGACACCTTTTTTCGTAGTAGCGACAACTGTTCAGAACAGTGACATGTTTGGCTGATTCTTCATCTGATTCACTCTCTGAGTCTCCATCAGACCATGTAACTGCTAGGCCCTTAGTTTTCCTCTTGAGATAGGAGGGACATTCTGCTCTAATGTGCCCATATCCTTCACATTCATAACACTGAGCTCCTTTGTCTTGATTGGACTTTTCTTCATACTTGGCTCTTTTGCTAATGTCAGATGAGATGTTATTGACATTAAATCTACCCTTCTTATCTACCCTTTTCATGAGTCTGTTGAATTGTCTTCCAAGCATAGCTACAACTTCTGAGAGATTCTCCTTGTTTCCATCATTGTCTTCATCAGAGTCTTCTGCTGAATTTGTGAGAAGGGCTATGATTTTGCTCTTCTTCTCACCCTGATCACACAATCCTATCTCAAAAGTTTGGAGTGAACCAATGAGTTCATCCACTTTCGTGTTGCATATATCCTGAGCTTCTTCAATAGCGGTGACTTTCATGGAAAACCTCTTGGCAAAGTTCTTAGAATCTTCCTCACAAGCTTTTCTTCAGACATCTTCTCTCCCAAAGCTTCTGAGGTATTGGCAATTTCAAGGATATTCATGTAGAATTCATGAATAGTCTCCTCCTCTTTCATTCTAATATTTTCAAACTTGGTGATTAGCATCTGTAATCTTGACATCTTGACTTTAGAGGTTCCTTCATGGGTTGTTTTAAGTGTATCCCAAACCTCTTTGGCCAGTTCACAATGATGTACCAGTCTGAAAATATTCTTGTCAATTCCATTAAATAAGGCATTCAAAGCCTTAGAATTTCCCAGTGCCAAGGCCTCTTGCTCTTTGTTCCATTCCTCTTCAGGAATTAACACAGATATTCCATCTTTATCAGTCTTCTCTGGATTTTCCCATCCTGAGTTTGCAGCTCTCCATGCCTTGTTTTTTAAAGACTTTAAGAAGGCTATCATCCTAGGTTTCCAGTAGTCATAATTGGATCCATCCAGAATTGGTGGTCTATTTGTGAATCCTATATCTTTATCCATAGTACCAGAATTTATCTTCCCTAGATCTCACCCAGAAAATAACAAGCAGGGTGCCTGCTCTGATGCCAATTAAAATTTTGGCTACACAACACAGTGGATGTTATCGCGGATGTTATGACATCCACTGTAACACAGACTACAGAACTTAAACACAACTGTAAATGAAAAGCAGTAAATAACACTAGTAATTGTTCACCCAGTTCAGTTTCAACCACACCTACATCTGGGGGCTACCAAGCCAGGGAGGAAATTCACTATTAGTAGAATTAATTCAGAGTCAAACAACTCGTTTGCACTCTTCACTTAAGACCTACCCAATGACACTTCAGCCTAATACTAGACCAGAGTTTCCCACTCACTCCCCCTCAATCACCTCAGTGATATCAATACACAATTACAATTGGACAATGAAGACACACTTCAAACACAACTTGATCTTGCTTCACAACTTTGATCAAGAGACACATCACTCTTGCTTAAAAGCTTTGAGTGACATAATGAACACAACCGTTCACTAACACTAAACCAGAGCAATCGTACAACAGACAATTGCTTGGCCTACAAGGAATACTAAGACTTCTAAACACACGTGAAGAACAAAGTTCTTCACTCACAAATCACACTCTCCAATCTCTCTCCAGAAGCTCTACTTTATTAGGAATGATCCTTCTGTTATTTATAGCAGCAGACTTGCTTTGGGCCTTGATGGAGAAATTAGGTTTACCCAAGTAAACCTCTCTTCATGAAGCTGCACACATCCAATTGAGTCAGGGGAATTCCAGGTTATCCTTAGCAAGGCCTGTTATGTCGCATAAGATAACTAGGCTACCTAAAATGTTTCTTGAAGTATAGCCTGAGCTAATAACAGAAAAACTAACATTGCGCGCCCTGATGTCATATGCTCGATGTCATAACATTCAGTCATGACATTCAGCTTCACTTACTCTTAACTCTCCCTACAGAACACTCTTCATGTATGTCATAACATCAGTTATGACACTCATACATACTCCAATGTTTTGCCACAAAATGCTGCCAATCAAAAGCATCTACACTTTTATTGGAAAATTCTTCTATATAAGTTTCCCTCGAGAGACAATTTGGTCAAATATGGTGTCTTGCTTGATCCTATTCACGCTTCCTATGGGTTGTGAAGTGAGTTTATTGAGATGGTTTCTCGCGTGTTCATTACCTGTGAGGCAGTTGTTATGTTATGGTATAGGATTTTTAGGTGGTTTAGGTGGCTTATAGTTCTTCCTAAAGATTTCCTACTCTTTTTGAGATTTTAACTTTGCCAGGGGGTTCTTTTAGAATTAGAGGTAGATTGATTATGGCTTGACAATCAGTAGTTTGGTCTATTTAAAAATAAATGAACGATTTTTTTTAGAGAAGGGTTCAAATATGAAGGTTTGAGAATATAAGAATATTTTCTTAGCTTGAAAATTGAATATGGAAAGGTTTACAGCCTATTCTTGTGCTTTCTTTGATTGACTTATAATCATGTTCTCATTATGAGCCAATAACGACTAGAGAGTTTTCTTCCTCTTCTTGAAGTGGAGTGTTCTTGTTGGTTGTTGGAGTTATTTGTATTTGTTGAGAGAGATAGAGAGACAGAGAGAGAAATGTTAATTGAAATAAAAATTAAACAAAAAAAAATACAATTTATCAATACTTCCCCCTTCTATATCTAAAATTAATGAGAAAAAACTTAACAAAACTCTTCTTCTAAATTATTTTAGATGTCTATTACAATTACTATATATGTGAGTACATATTACATGTTTTCTCATACAATTTTTTTAATTAAAATCAAAAGTAAAAAAAGTACTATTTATATTTTCACGCATGTGCACAATGATAAAGCAGATAGATAGATATGAGACTGCCTGTATTAATATGGACGATTATTATTATTATTATTATTATTATTATTATTATTATTATTATTATTATTATTATTATTATTATTATTATTATTACTACTACTACTACTATTATTATTATTACTATTATTACTATTACTACTACTACTATTATTATTACTACTATTATTACTACTACTACTATTACTACTACTACTATTATTATTATTATTATTATTATTATTATTATTATTATTATTATTATTATTATTATTATTATTATTACTTCTACTACTACTATTATTACTATTACTACTATTACTATTATTATTACTACTACTATTACTATTACTACTATTACTATTACTACTATTACTACTACTACTATTACTATTACTATTACCACTACTACTACAGTAGAAACTCTTTAAATTAATACTTGGTAAATTAATAAACTCTCTAAAATAATAAATTTGTCCGGTCGGGCCAATGTAAAAAATTGAAAAACTCGATAAAATAATAAAATAATAATTTTTTGGGAGATCTCTTTATAATTTTCGGTCCCAAGAAAATCATAAGTTAATAATTCATAGAAACTGGAAAAAAAAATATTACACTCTATTGAAATATGATTCAATAGTTGTCTGTTTTCCTTTAAAGCTCAAGTCTATTTGGAACTCATCTCTAATTTTTCTTATTGCATCCAATAGCTCAGGTGTTGTATTTTTGTATTGTATCATAAAGTTGTGAAGAGTATTCGACGCCATAAGTGCTTCATTTCGCGTAACAGGCTCCAAAGACACCGTATCATCTTCGCCGTCATCCTCTGCATTGTTCTCAATGATATTACCCACAATATCTTTTAAACTATGAACCTCCGAACATGCTTCATTTTCACCTGGGTAGTTCATTAGATTGTCGATATCCATCTTATTACGATAGCCATATTGATTAATCATAGTCTCGAGGTCTTAAGTTTCTTCATCAAAAGTGGATTCATCCAAATTTTTTGCAACGTCACTAGCTAAATGAATTTTACAATGTCGAAAGCAATTCGCTATTATTTCTTTTCGAACATCTATCGTCCAAGCTGGGATTGCCAAATTGATAGCATCTAGGACATTTATCTTCCCTGGATCAGATTGTCCCACCTTATAACCATCCAATATTTTATGGTAAAACCTTCTACGGTGATGCATCTTGAAAGCTCTTATTATCCCAGCATCGCAAGATTGAATCTTTGATGCTATGTTGGGTGGCAAGAAGAACAACTCAACGTTTCTTAGCCCTTCAATATTTCTTGGATGTGCTGGACAATTATCCACCACAAGTAGAACTCTTCTACCATGCATCATTTGGTCAAATGAACGAACATATTCATCAAAAAGCACACTAGTCATCCATGCTTTTTTGTTAGCTCGATAATGACAATCCAAGCTATTCATGTTGACATTCTTGAAGCAACGGGGCTTTGCATATTTCCCAATAATCCATAGAGGGATTTTTTCAGAGCCATCTTCATTGCAACAAATAACTACCATCAGCCTTTCTTTATCTTGTTTTCTTCCTTCAAGTTGTTTTGTTGCTAGTGAATGATCAGCTTGTAGCCTATAAAACAACCCAGTTTCATCCATACTGAAAACATCTTTCATAGGGAACTGATCAATTTTCTCCCGAATCGATACCAATTTCTGCTCCATGTCTTGTACATCAACAGACCCACTCTCGCCAAAACGACAAAATGGCTTTATGCCATGTTGGTTCTTGAATTTCCCAAGCCATCCTATAGAGAAGTTAAAATATGAATCATCATGAGAGTACACGAGTTTCATTGTATCTCTTGCCTTCTACAAAATTAATTCTCCTGTGATATTCACACGTTCTTGATGCTAGAGAAACCACTCATAAACAACCTTCTCCATGTCAGGATATTTTGCTGGTTTGTGTCTTTTAATCTCTGCTCTTCCCTTTTCTATTTCAGTAGAGAGATAGTCATCTGACCGTTTAAGTGTGTTTGATATTGTTCCTTGACTAACTTTCAACTGGAATTTTCCCTCAAGCCATCTCTGCAAGTCTTTTTGTGTGCTTGCAGGATTATCTCCCTTGCTCTCACACAACTCCTTACGTATTTGATCTGACATAGTTGATTTTGCAACACCTTTTAGATGAGAAGCCATTTTGTGAGACATGGTTTGAATACTCTAACACATTCATGTAATTTATATATGGCATACTTGCTTAAGAATACATTGAACACATTTGTTCCTCTTGTTTACATTTACTGTACTTCAAAAGTCATTATTGATTTCCAATGCATATGAACACAGTAGTTACTAATTTACGTTGAGTTCCAAGGTTCGCTGCAACGTAATTCTAAGAGGCATAGACTAATTTGCCTTTTTTTTGGTATGTACAGTATAATTACTTAAAAACTCTTTAAATTAATAATTATTAATTTATCGATAAATTAATAACTCTCTAAATTAATAAATTTCTCCGGTTCTGACATTATTAATTTAAAGAGTTTCTATTGTATTACTATTACTATTACTACTATTACTATTACTATTACTACTATTATTATTACTGTTACTACTATTATTATTACTACTATTACTATTACTATTACCATTACTATTACTACTATTATTATTACTAGTACTATTATTACTATTATTATTGTTATTATTATTATGATTATTATTATTATTATTATTATTATTATTATTATTATTATTATTATTATTATTATTATTATTATTATTATTATTATTATTTTCATTATTATTATTATTTTCATTATTTTCATTATTTTTTTCATTATTATTATTATTATTATTATTATTATTTTCATTACTTTTTTCATTATTATTTTTATTTTCATCATTATTATTATTATTACTATTATTATTTTCATTATTATTATTATTATTTTAATTATTATTATTATCATTATTATTATTATTATTATTATTATTATTATTAATATTTTCATTATTATTATTATTATTATTATTTTCATTATTATTATTTTCATTATTATTATTATTATTATTATTATTTTCATTATTATTATTATTATTATTATTATTATTATTATTATTATTATTTTCATTATTATTATTATTATTATTATTATAAATTTTGTACTTTGATTTAAAATATAAATTTATTAACCTTTCATGTGATTTGAACTTATTAACCTACGTTAATATTTTTGTTTAAATGTATTATTATAAATTTGAATTGAAATGTAATATTTATATAATCAAGTTTTATAAAACATGCAAAAAGAAAGTTTTATTACATTGAAGAATTCATGAAAATATACTGAAAACACCTTATGAAAATAAACGGAAAACACCTTATGAAAAATGTAAAATTAGGACAAATTGTATTATTCTGAATTGATTCAAGAAAGAGTCAAATATCTCTCATTCTTAAGTAATGTGTGAAAAATTAAATGATAAAAATGGAATTTGGATCCTCTCCTTTTTTATATATCATGTCATTTCTCATGTTTCTAATCTAACGGTTCAGAATTTATAATGAATAATTAAATAAAAAAAGTCATTTAATAGGAGAGAGAAATGAATAAGTAATTTGTCTTTGTTATTTTTGGAATTTCTTAACATTTTTACGATTAGGCAAAAATAAATTCTGAACCGTTAGATTACAAACATGAGAGATGGCATGATATATAAAAAAGGAGAGGATCCAAATCCATAAAAATGCCAAAAACTTTATATCTTTCCTTTTGAAATAAAAAAAGATTTGTTGGTCATCGTTACTAACAACCATAAGATGTAAAATTTGAAAATTTACTAACCTTGGCCCTAGTTTGAGGAACCCTTCGAAAATTGGTTACAATAATAGTCACACGGTTGACAAATTTTGCTGATTCTGAACTGATTCAAAAAAGAGCTAAATATCCGTCATCTTAAGTAATTTGTAAAAGATTAAATTAGAAAAAGACCAAAAACATTATCTCTATCTCTTAGAATAAAAAATGATTTGTTAATCATTGTTACTAACACTATAATATGTAAATTTTATGAATTTACTAATCTTTTCCCTAGTTTGAGGAACACTCTGAGAATTGGTTCCAACTTCTTTGATATGTGGTACGTAATTCTAAAGAAAAATTGATACGTGATGAATATACATAATCGGTATGTTATTTTGGTTCGTGATAAGTTATTTATGTTATTTGAATTTATGGTATGTTCAAATGTAATAATAAAAAATTTATTTAGATAAAATAAATATATAAAAAACGCTTTAAGTATCTCACACTGAGACTTATAAAAACGAACTATCTTAAAAGAAATAGATGTATAAAATTGAAGTAAGTCTCACATCGGATATGCACATAATATTAAGAAGCAAAGTATTCTATAAATTAAAGAATGCAAAGCAAGTGGGCCACACTAGTGTAATTTTTTTTTACTTCTCAAGCATGTGAGCCACTCTAGTTTGAGTATTTTTAAATCTTTATTAGTTAGGGTCACATTTAACTAGAAGTAAATAAATTAAAATATTTTTGACATCTTCCATAGTTACTAGGAACTGATATACTCGTACCAATTTTTGCAATTCTCTATGCAAATTAGAAAACTATGTGACTATGGTTCCAAATTTTGAATTGATCTTCTTTTTCTGTGTTTTTGGAGATCACTATTTGTTGAGTTTCATTTTCCTAAGTTTCTCCATTTTAAATTGAATCCTCCACATGATCAACCATATTTGCTCCATAATCCTCTAGGACATTCATACCTTTGTGGACTGCCTCAAGAAACCCTTGATGAATTAAATCTAGTTGTTTGTCTTAAGGCATAAAACTGTCAAGTAGATAGCATTTAAGTTCATTTGGGTAGCATGATTGATGCAAAGTGTTTGTGTCTTTGTCTCGGTCTTCCAATCTTTTTGAGTCAGTTTGAGCATTTTGGTAAGCATTCTCTTCATCGTGATTATTCATTAACTCTATTTCGACACTTAAGGAAGATATGGCATATGGTATGTTTGGATTGACTTATTTGAGTTTATCTATTGTAATAAATTTTGTGATACTGTTATGAGACTTTATCAAAATAATTTATGCCATTATTTTATATACTTTTTGAATTTATTTTTATAAGTTATTTAAGGTAGCTAGGGAAAACTGAGGAACCTTATTTTGTAGTTCATTAATTAATGAAGCTCTCTTAAAGACGAATATATTTTTGATGACGACAAATAGTATTTTATGACAACAACTAAAGTCAAGCCTAAAGTGGTTAAACATGCAACCAAATCAATATAGTTTGATAAACTGGGTTCTCTCATGATAGAATCTAAATGAAAAATAACTCAAGCTTCATCTGATTAGACTTGAAGTATGTGAAACCTCGCCCTGACACACTTGAGTGAATATACATTGTTAAAGCATAAAGGATTTATCATAAATTATACAAATAATCTCTTTCTCTCTCTCTCTCTCTCTCTCTCTCTCACACACACACACACACACACACACACACACACACAAACACACACACAGACACACACATACACACACACACACAGACACACAGACACACACACACACACACACACACACACACACACACACACACACACACACACACACACACGCACGCACGCAAGTAAGAGTTATTGTTGCAACAAATAAGTTCATGTGTATTTTTATCGTCTCCATATAAAATGGTTGTGTGTTAAAGACAACTCAATGGTTTCTATGATTGTAAGAATGACTTATCAGATGTTTGATTGTTTTTTAATACTGAAAGTAAAATGAACTTTGGTGTTTAACAATTGAGAAACTTTGTCAAGGTTATGCAGTGTTATAATTGGAAAAGACCTCGCCTAGGTTGATCGATGTCTTTGTACTGCCCAAGGAGAGACAAATGGTGTAGGTCGCCCAAGGGGAGGTATCGCCTCAAAACTCCCTATCGCCCCATTATGGGAATTGTGGGATGAGATGTTTCAGGGATAAATAGAAAGTTAGGGTCATTACTGATCCGCACCCCTTTGGAAATAGGAGTTCACTGGTCCACCATTGACTAGGTGGGAAACAACTCTTTTTGAGAAAACCCTAGGTCCAGAGGGCCTCTTTAAATACCTTACCCCTTAAGGGGAAAAGACAGACTCTCATGTAATATATACATACTTAACACCATACAAAGCACAACACTCGCGTTTTCAACACCATTACCACCAGTGAGTGTTCGTCTGTTACTGGACACCGCCGATCGTCAGCAAGGTCTGTCATCTCGCATGAGTAGGTCTCATGTACAATATCGAAATACCACCTACAGGGTTTATTGCCACCATGGGAAAACCCTCACCACCAAAACATGTTATACATCTACTAAGGTCTTTGAGTCTCTCTTCTCTTGCAGGGGAACACACACACCTATACTTTTTAACTAGTACAGTGGCGCCCATCGTGAGCCATGATAAAACTAACATGGGCCACACCCTTTTTTAATCATCATAACCTTTCTCATTGTTTCTACAATTAGCCATATTCATTCATGGTCAACATGAGAGCTCCGTCCCTTATGCCAGAAGGTACCAGCGGTATCGGCGATGCCGATACAATTGAATGATAACTTTCTTATGAGTTTGTCTGAATTTTAGAATGGGAAGCATCTTTCTGTTAATTTTTGATCAATTTCCCAGTTGACCAATTTGTGTTTCAAGATTTTTGATCAAAGTTTTAGTATTCTTCTAGTTGAAAATCGATATCTGTATAAACAACTTAAATGTATATTTCAGCTTTGTTAATTTGTTAATTTCTAATCTCTATCCTTGATTGAAATTGTTTTTC